TTTAGCAAGACCTTGTCTCAAAATGAAAAAGGCTTGGGACTATAGCTCAGTGCAAAAGGCTTTATATTGAACATTTAACTTTTTCTTTTATTTTTTGATGGTACTGGGGACTCAACCCAGGGCCTTTACACTGAACTTCATATCCAGCCCTTTTTATTTTTTATTTTGAGATAGTGTCTTGCTATGTTATTCAGGTTGGGGTCCAGATTGCTATCAGCCTCAGTCTTCCAGAGTGCTGGGTCTATAGGCATACTAACTTTTTTTGAGACACAGTCTTCTATGTAGACTGGCCTTAAACTCCCTCTGTGGCCCAGACTGGTCTAGAATTCACAATCCCACCTCAGCTTCCCAAGTGCTGGGATTACAGATGTGTGCCACCATATCCAGCTTGTGTGTTATCTTTTGTAGCTCTGGATTCTTATGTTCCAGAGAGTAAGACTTTAAAACATTTAGCAGGTGAGATCTTTTTATTTTCTTCAGTAAAAAGTTTATAGACTGAGTGGAATTTGCTAAAATGTGCCTCTGTACTCACAGAATGTACATCTGAATATGCAGATAGGTGAGCAAAGTCTAGTTTGTATTTGGACAAGACAATAGTCTTTTATGTTTTCTGCAGTTGCATCAAAAATCTTCATATAAATCAGAAGATAGTTTGAAATTCCATTTTTCAACTTAAAGCACTTAAGAGATAGGAAAGGGGCTGGGGATTTAGCTCAGTGGTGCAGCGCCTTCCTGGCAAGCATGAGGTCCTGAATTTGATTCCCAGTACTCCCCCGCCCCCGCAAAAAAAAAAAGAGTTAGTTAGAAAGAACGCTTTTTTACTGTCATGATTTTTTTTTTATTTTAAAAATAAAAGGAGGAAAACAGACAGACAACCTTTTACAAAACAACCTTAACAGACAGACAACCTTTTACAAAACAGCAAAAGAACAGTACAGACAATACAGAGTTACAAAGTGGTAGGAAATTAACAATGCTTGTTGTATTACATATTAATATCTTCAAAGTGATTTCTCATGAAAACAAATTACTGTCATGATTGCTGTAGCAAGCCAGATTGTTGGTTAAGATCTGACAGAATCAGCTCTACAGTGGAAGACACCAACACATGTTATCAAAATTTCTCTTTTTATTCACCCACGTAATATTCTAGTAACATCTTCTAAATCAGGAACTATAACTTTATTCTGTTTCATAGAACAATCATGGAGGGCCAGGGATAAGTGCTTGCTGGCAAGCCTGAGGTCATGAGTTCGATTCCTGGTACCAAAAAAAAAAAAAAAAGAACAATTACGGGAATGATATAATAATGCAGGCTCATTTGTGTGGTATGCCCACATTGAATACTGGTGTTTTGGAAGATGAAAACACTTATAATTGATTTGAAAGTATTGCTTGTCTTATCCTAGACTTGTGAGATTCAGTTTCCATATGTGTCTTCACATCTCCTTTCTCTCTGTGCCCAGCTGCAAATTTGTTCTTTCATATTGCACAGTAGGCTCTGTCTGGGTTATTACTTCCCTAATCTAGTTGCCACTACGGAACTTCTTCCATCTGTCATTAAAATAACATAGCCAGTTAGCAGTGGTTTTTTTTTTTAAATTGTTATTATTTTGATTTTGGTTTTTTTGAGACAGGGTCTCGCTATGTAGTTCAGGCTGGCCTTGAACACACTACGTAGCCCCAGCTGGCCTTGAACCTGTGGTGATCCTCTGGCCTCTGGAGTGCTGGGATAACAAGTGCGTACCACTACCAAGCCTGGCTCATTATTGTTTTCATTGTTTGAATTCGTAGAACACCTTGATACAATGATTCAGAAAGCTACAAATTAATGACATCTATCTCCATATGAAGTGCAACAGTTAATGGGATGGGTTAACACTTGAGATTAGAACTTAAATTACATACTTCAGAATTTAAGTTACTGTAAAAGAAGACAGCAATGGAAAGTCCACTATCATGAACCACCAGTCACAGACACCAATTCAGCATTCAGCAGAGGCAGGCTGTTGTCATATTTATTTACACTATGAACAATATTGTCTTCAGCCTCTTTTCTTCCACCATGGTATGGTTTTGTATTCTCCCTTGCCCCAATCTTCTATACTCACTGCTGGAAGCCAGGATTTTTGCACCAAAGGGGAGTTTTCTGGAATATGGAACTTTCCATATTGTAGAACTTTCCATAGCACATCTGGAAGGACTGCTTACCAAAAAGAAGGTCGCTTACTCTTCCCTTTTCATAGGTGACAGCCTGTCTACTATTTTCAGATCTGCTTTTTAACTATAACAAGTTATATTTAGCTAGTCTTTCTCAGGAGTGTGGTCTGAGATAAAGCAAATAAAAATGGATAATTGTATCTTTTTTGGAAATAATCCTTTTTTTTTTTTTTTTTTTTTTTTTTTTTTTTTTTTTTTGTCTTTTTGAGACAGGGTCTCACTATGCAGTTCAGGCTGGCCTTGAGCTCACTTTGTAGCCCAGGCTGGTCTCAAACTCGCAACGATCCTCCTGCCTCTGCCTCCCGAGTGCTGGGATTACAGGCGTGCGCCACCATGCCCAGCTTGGAAATTGTCCTAAATGGTTTGTTTGGCTGGATGTACCTGGCATACTTACCTCAAACTTTGCAGGACTACTTGGTACCACTTTCCATACCTTGTTTCTTTAGCTATAGGAACAGTTCTGAAACTAACAAGCAAGTCAAGGTTGGCTGTTCCTAAAGCTTTTGATCAATTCATTGCCTTTTGCCATTTCTAATAGCTCCACTGTATCTACAGAAGAGGAACATATTAATTAATTCTATACCATATTTCCAAAAGACTAAGAATGACAAATCAAGCATGTATTTTATTAAGAGAGCAATATAAAGATGCTCACTCAAGTTTATAAAGTACTTGACAATCATGTTAAGGTTAGTAAATGTTAAAAAAAAGGAAAGAGATGCAAAGAGAAAGAAAAGTTAATAACTTTCTCCTACAGTCATTAGTTAGCTTATTAAATAGAAGTTTTAGTGAAGGCTTGTTTAATGCTGCTAAAAGCTGGTAAACTAATGGTGGTCATCAACAGACATTAAAAAGGTTTCATGAACTGCCTGAGGTGGGGACGTTGGTCAGAGGAAGAGCAATGTTTGCCTACCATTCCCAAGGTCCTAAGCACCACACGCACAAGAAAACAACAAAAAACCTGCCTCTGCCCTTAGACATTAAACAGTCACCATTAACCTTTAATCCTGAGGGATAAGAATACTATCGACTATGGAGCTGGGGATATAGTTCACTGGTAGAGCATTTGCTTGCCAGACCTGAGGCCATGGATTCAATCTTCAGCACCATTAAATAAATACATAAGTAAATGGCTATGGATTGTATTATATGGTTTTATCTACTAATCAGCTAGTGGCCTCCCAAACACAAAGCTACTACATAATTTTATGTGTTGAAGAAAACAACATAACCACGCTAGAGAACTCATAGACTTGTCTCCATATACATGTAAGTAAGATGAACACATCCGCCTTTCTTAACGACAAGTGACCCACGTTTTTCACTGACCTGAATAGGGGATCTTCTCTGGGACATCATCCCAGATCGGTCCATCTGCAGTGTTCTTCTGGGTACACACACTAGTGTCAAAGCCGTAGTAACGCCCTGGAGTGATAGCGTAGCTCGTTACTTTCCCCCAGAAAGGGACCTGCTTCGGGGTCCGTATGGAGAAGCCTGTTCATACATCGCGGACAGCAGCAGCAGCAGCGCCTCTCTGTAACCGGCCCCGAGAGATGGAGACGACGTGCTCAGCGGGTAAGACCTCAAGCAGCGCCTGCACTTCCTCCGGTGGCGCCTTTTCGAAGCCGGCTCTTCCTGTGCCTCTTCCTGAGCCGGCTCCGACTCAGAGACACCGGTCAATACAGACGCGAGACCCAGAATGACAGCTTCCGGTCATTACAGACGCGGGACCCAGAATGACAGCTTCCGTAAGAAGGGCGTCGTGGCCACCAGACCCTCACATAACTAAGCCATCACTGGTCCCGGCTGATCTTCCTGTTTCCAAAGGGTCATTTCCCTAAAACCCAAGATATCCCCTAGTGGTTTCAACAGGCAATTTCCACCGGAGGGCATATTTGCCAAAGCCCGGAGACATTTTTGGTTGTCACATCCCGGGGAGCTGCTTTGTACCGAGTGAGGAGAAGACGGGGGTGCAGATAAACATCCTACAATATACAGGACAGTTCCCATACACAGACTCATCTAGCTCCAAAAGTCAGGTGTGCAGAGGCTGAGAAACCCTCCGCAACGACAAACAGCAAAGAAAGGTCAAATCCCACAAGAGGGTCACCGCGCGGGATCTGGGCCCCCGGGACCCCTAACGCCGAACTGGGAAGCCCCAGTTCTGGGCCTGAGCCGCCCCTCTCTGGTCTGGGATGCGCAGCTGCAATGCTCCTGGAAAAAAATGGTACTTAAAAACCCTGAGTACACAGTGCTGCGAGGCCGCACGCCTGCAGCCACTTCTCTGTTTGTTTAGTTTTTGTCTTTTTTGAGACAGGATCTCACTATGCAGTTCAGGCTGGACTTGAGCTCACTTTGTAGCCCAGGCTGGTCTCGAACTCGCAAAGATCCTCCTGCCTCAGCCTCCCGACTGCAGCCACTTCTTGCACCATGCAGGTCCAGACTCTTTACCTGCCACTCACAGTTGAGAGAGACCTGGCACTAGAAAATTCGCCACCTCACCCCAAATGGATATTGAGGCCCGACGGACACTTCTCTTTGGAGAGTTTAGGAAAATGAGAGACTCCTCACGCCTCCCCTTAAAAGACGTGCCTACTACTACTACTTGCCACCTCTAGAGACTAACAGCGGTGGGAAGCAGCGAAGCGCTACGGGGCATGCGCAGACCCCTCGACGCGGTGGGCGTGACTCGCCTCTGTCTCAGCCCATCTCTTCCTCACGTCCCGCCCTCAGCCCAGTCTCCGCATGCGCAACTGGCCGGGGGTGGAGCTGATACATCCGGGGTCTGGCGGCTTGTGGTCGTTTTGTTTTCTTGGCTGAGACTAGTGACAAGTGAGGCGGCCCCGTGCGGCGCGACACCAGGCACCGGACGTAGTGCATTGCCAGGTCTGGACGTAAGTGCCCGGTGGGTAAGGGTAAAGGGGAGCAGCTGCACGCTGGACAAGGCGCGGACCCCGGCTGACGCCTACAGGTCTTTGCCTCCACCCGGTGGGAAGCTGCAGACTGGGGCTGCGCCTCGCTGGACCATCCTGACCACTTCCTGCTGTCCTGTCCCGGCGGCTGGGAGAGCGCGACCGCGTCCAGGCTCACCAGGCTCAGACGGGGCGCGGGGGGCATCGGGAGGGGACTGCAGCCCTGCCCGGGACATCAGCGTCCCTAAAAGTCATTTTGTCCCCCTACTTTGGAGCTGGACACATCTCGAGAGCTGACTGACTCACGAGAGAGGTGGAGGAACTAGAACTAGTTTCTAGATCTTCGAGTCTCAGTCCACTGCCTGAGCGTGAAATTCTCAAAGACTGGAGCGCGGAGTTTGGGCTGGAGTGTGTCAGTAATCATGCAAAGAAAAATGGATTCAGGGCGGGGTCGATGGGGTAAAGCGAAAATAAAAGCTTATTGGGTTGCTGTTCTTCTCAGGGAAGAACGCAGTGAGTGAATTTTCAGAATTGAACTCATCCTAAAGGCACATTAGCACTGATTATAATCATAGCTTTGAATGTTTAATTTTCAAAACGGAAGATTAAAAACTTGAAGTCGTTGCACTTTTAGGGTATCATGGTTTTGGATAGTCATCATTGCTGGCTACGGAGTAGCTGCGGGAGTTTGGGTATTTCTCGACTATTATTAGCAAGTTACATGGAATTTAGGTTTTTTCACGCTCTGACATAGAGATAATATAAATGTGTCTCAGGCCAGATCTGCACAATTGAGTTTATAGGAATGTTTTATGTAGATTATTAAAGACAATTTTAGGCTAGTTATGGTAATTTAAATAGCAATGGGTTATTTATTTTTGGTCAGCGCTTTTGAAGAGATAGTATAATAAAATGTTCTACTAGAAATGATGTGTTTTCATAGAAATGATACCAAAGGTAGACTTGAAGAAGGAAAAACTGATGAGGTGAAAGGAAATGAGGTGGGTGGATTTAAAACCTCCGGTGCAGTGTCCTTAATCTGGGAGGGGAGAAACACAAGTTCTATGAAAAAAATTACGTAAATTCCCAAGAGAATATTTTTCATCTGTGCTTTAACTCAGCCAAAGTTAATCACCTCCTGACTATGTTAATGCTCCTGAACTATAATATAAAATTAAATAATTATACTCAATTATTTAAGGATCACTTAAATTAACTTGGTAATGTATTTGGAAATAATAAGATCTGACCATTTTTAGGAGGTCAACCAATAGTTAAAATTGTTTAACTATTCAGATGTCTGCCTTTACTTAAATATACCTTCTTTCATACTACTTAAATACACAAAACCATCTTTTATCTTTTTTTTGTTTGTTTTTGTCTTTTGGAGACGGGGTTTCACTGTGTAGTTCAGGCTGGGCTTAAACTCACTTTGTAGCCGAGGCTGGCCTCAAATCCATAGTGATCCTCCTGCCTCAGCCTCCTGAGTGCTGGATTACAGATGTGCACCACCACACCTGTCACAAAACCATCTTTTACATGAAAAAAAAAGCTAAAACAATGCCAGGTGTGGTACAGGATCGCTGCAAGCAGCCTGGGCTACATACTGAGTTCAAGGCCAGCTTGGACTACATAGTGAGACTCTGTCTCACAAAAAGAAATGCTAGGGCAAATCCAGATTTTTGTTGTTGTTTTTGAGACAGGATCTTACTTTGTAGTCTAGGCTGGCTTCAAATTTGGCAGAAATCCTCTTGCCTCAGCCTTCCCAGTGCTGGGATCACAGATGTATTCCCTTACACCCAGCTACAAATCCAGATTTTGTTTTCCAAAATTATAATGTGACAATTCATCAAAAGCTAAATAGTTATAAGAAGTATGTAGAGCTAAAATAAAGCATTTGTTACTTTTATTAAATTATTCCTCAACTGTTAAATATTTTCCAGGGACATAAGTCAGGTGAGAAACAAATAAAGTACTTTATTTAGGTATTTATTTTGTTTTGTTTTGAAGTGACCTGAGAAAATGTCAGGATTTCTAGAAGGTATGAGATGCTCAGAATGCGTTGATTGGGGAGAAAAGCGAAATACTATTGCTTCCATCGCTGCTGGTGTTCTGGTGAGTATCATGATAATTTGGGCCTTCATTATTTTAATGTGTTTCTGTTACCTGTTTTAAATTGTTTAAAAATGGCACTTTTTTTTTTTTTTTTTTTTTTCCTTTTTTAAATTTTTTAAAAATGGCCTTTTTTTTTTTTTTTTTTTTTTTTTTGAGACAGTCTTGCTATGCAGTTCAGGCTGGCCCTGAGCTCTCTTTGTAGCCCAGGCTGGTCTCAAACTCACAATGATCCTCCTGCCTCAGCCTCCCAAGTGCTGGGATTACAGACATGCACCATCACACCTGGCTGTATTTTTTAATTTTGAGACAGGATCTCGCTAAGTTGCCCATGCTCATCTTGAACTTGTGATCCTCCTGCCTTGACCTCTCAGTGCTGTGATTACAAGTGTGCAAACAGCACACTCAGCTTGATGTTTGTCTTTTATGATCTAAGAGTGCCATATACTCTAAAGAGTAAACTAATTAATTAACTGACTAACTACTTTTAGTGCCCAGGATTGAACCCAGGGCTTCACACACATTAGGCAAATCATGTCACTTCCTCCCCAGCCCCTAAAGAGTAATTTTTTCTTTTTTTTTCCTAAAGAGAAAATTTTAAGTAAAGAAATCAATAAAAATCTAAGTTTAAATGTCTCCTCTTTACCTAATCTCTTTTTTATTATCTGTGAAAGTAATTACACTTTTCCAAAGTAATAGCAACATTTAATACCACTGTTCAAATTTTGCTCTTACAAATATATTTTTTTAAGACTTTAACTTAAAAAAAAAGACTTTTTATCTGTGAAGAAAATATCTTGAGTACTGTGAACACAGGGTAAAAAATAAAATGAGCCATTCATTACTTATAGAAACCAATTAAATGTCATTAACAGCATATGGCTCTATCTATAACCCAATGAAAGTAATTTGATTAGCCTAAAATAGCAATCTTAAAATTATTGCTGGAAAATGGCAGTTTCCAGAGCTAACTGGGTCAGGGTTGGAGAAGGGGGTTGCTCACTTGCTGAGATTTTGGTAACATCATTTCATGGTAAGTTTCTGCTCAGATGATAACTATTTGTGTGCTTTTGTTTTTTTTTATTGCATATTCACCCTTGATAATCCAGAACCAAATTCAGTTAAACCATAATCTGGTATTCAGATTGAATTAAAATCACACCTGATGCAATCTAAAGACTGCCCTCTGATGGGCATGGTAGCACAGCCTGTAACCCTAGCATTCAGGAGCCTGAGGCAGTAGGATCACCACAAGTTCAAGGCCAGCCTACATAGTGAGACCTGGTTTCAAAACAAAAGCAAAAAATAAAACGACTGTACTGTAATTCATCAAAAGTAAAAAGCAGAACTGTAGAGCTGTTATTGCACCAAGTGGATAGTTAAAATTCTACCAATTGTTCCCTGTTTTGTTTTTTTATTTTAAAGAGTAAAAGAAGGACAACATAGCAATAGGGGGATTCACACAAAGTGGTAGGACATTATCAAGGGTTGTTATTTAACCTATTGGTATCTTCAAGATAGTTTCTCAGGAAAACAAACAGACAAATAAAAGTGAGCTACAGACAAAAATGGCAGGAAATTATCAATGGCTGTTATACTATAGCTTGGATTCTTCAAAGTGGTCTCTAGGGAAAACAAATAGAACTATACATGAGTGATCAATCAAATAATCATTGACTATTCTCAATGTTCCCCGTTTTAATTTAAATATTTTTTTCTTAATTTTTAGTGCAGTAATATCTTTCTAGAGGCTGCTAGTATATCAATAGGGTGTTTCTTCAGTAGGTTGGAATTTGAGTCGTTTTTTTTCTGTCTCCATATTTTGAGTTCACAAAATTAGGTTACAGAATTTAGGGGGCTGGGGATTTAGCTCAGTGGCACAGCACCTGCCTGGCAAGCACAAGGTCATGAGTTCGATTCCCCATACTGGAAAAAAACAAAAAAACAAAACAAAACAAAACAAAAAAAACCCACAGAATTTATTATGGCAATATGAAATAAGACTTGAAGTATGCCTAGGGTACCTAATTTTTTTGTGTGTTTTCTTGTCTTTTTGAGATAGGATCTCACTATACAGTCCAGACTGGCCTTGTGCTCACTTTCTAGCTCAGGCTGGTCTTGAACTTGCAAGGATCCTCCTGCCTCAGCCTCCCAAGAGTGCTGGGATTACAGGCATGTACCACCACACCTAGCTAGGGTACCTGATATTTATCAGCTTTTTAAGCATGGGCAAATTATGGGCAATTATGTTTGAGGAAATTTTGAAATTCATTAGAAGGAACGTCTCATCTTAGATACCTTGCTTTTCAGCCAGTAAGACATGATATTGCTATAATTTCACATTGGTATCGCCTCTTTTTGTTTGTTGTAGTTTTTCACAGGCTGGTGGATTATCATAGATGCAGCTGTTATTTATCCCAGTATGGAAGAGTTCAACCACTCATACCATGCCTGTGGCGTGATAGCAACCATAGCCTTCTTAATGTAAGTGTCGTTGTTACTGACGCTGTCTACACATGGTTATGAACTAACTTTGTTTTATCTATAGTTGCAAGATTTAAAATGTTTAAGTGGTATCAAATGGGATATGATTTAAAAATCGAATAGTAGGGAAGAACATAAAACTAACAGTCTTCTCCTTCCTCTCATCGCTCCTCTCTCAATTGTTCCATAGTCCAGGAAATCACCTCAGTTTCATCTTCGAGCCTGTTGATTGTTTTCACTTCTAGCCTCATGTTTTACTTTCCAAGGGCAGGTTCTTGTTTCAAGTGCCATTACGTTTCCTTAGTTATGAGCGCTTCCTTTAGGGACCTTCGTAGTCTGTTTAGCCAGGTCTGTCTTTGACTTGCTGCAGGCCTTTCCCCAGATGTGTGGTGACCCTTGGCTACTCATTATTATTTAGGAAAGAGTCAGGGAGAAGTTGAGTGTAAGCTGTGATCCTGAGTCAGAGCTTCAGCATGGGATAAGTAGCAGGGAGCTGGCCACCCAGATTACAGGATAAAGCGGACTTTTCCCTGGACATCATTCTCGCTAGTTGCTATAATTCTTTCCAGATAATTCTTCCAATTAATTAAGAGAAAACTCCTCTAACCCGCTTGCCTAAAGAGGGTCAGTAGTCACCCGGGGTGCCATAGGCCATACAGAGTGAGCAGGGTGGCAGGCTTCCTCAGCAGAGGGCCAGCTGTGCTGCCAGAGCTAAAGCAGGGTAGGAACGTGGTGCCCACAGGAGGACAGCCCAGGATGGCTCGCAGGTCTGGGCAGGGTGAGGAGGGAGGTCCGTGCAGCAGGGATGAGGAGAGGGCAGTCCTAAGGGCTGCACAGGAGTCTGAGTAGGGTAATGAGGCTGTTCATAATGAGGGGAGAGGAACAGTGTAGATCAGCTCTATTCCAAAAACAAAGAATACACTAGCTCCCTGGTCTTGGTTTAAGTACCGATGGTTTGGTACCATTCTCCACTGAAAGAAATTAGAACTCTTTAAAGATACGGCTGATTCCAGAACTGGTGCACAAGACATATATAAAGAAATGGCACCATCTTATACCTAAAAGCAAACAAGTGCTCACAAAATGATGCGATGTATCAAAAAGACATAAAAGACGTCCTGAAACACAAGGATCTCCCATAGCCGGACGGGGAAAATAGTACATACAGTACTGTGGTATATATATTATGTCACAGTGCTTTTATTATATGTTGTATTTTATATAT